AGCAAGACAGCTGTGGGCCAGACACCTGATAGATTAAAGGCCCACAGGCCCAGAGCTAAGCCAGGTGGACAGGCCTGTGACTCCCGGCAAAATGGATCCAGGAGTTCTTCCAGCATTCCCGAGGGGCTGAGGAGAGCCAGAGGACAGGTGAGAGCCCCTTTAGGAGAGGGACGTAGGTGGTGGTACAGCCCCGGCCTGTCCATAGCCAGCTCGGGACCCCTGCTAGGGAGGAGGGAGGAGGCGGGTCGCTCTTGCCGTCCAGCAAGCACTGGTTTGTGTTGCATGAGGTGCTTCAAGAGAACAGGCCCCAGGACCACTCTGGGTTGAGTTTGAACAGCTGAAACTGAACAGTGAGTAGGAAAATCTGGCTGCTTTTGTTTATTTCATCCAAGGTGTTAGGTGATGAGATAGCAACAGTTGGCATTTTGTATGCTGGTTTTGATTAAAAGCAGACAAGCAGCAAAATGCCTTTCACATGCAGAATTTTATGTCTGGGTAGTGTTTGCTTCTCTTTTTTGAGGCAAACATTTTATGAATGATACCTTGACTCCTTCCTCCAATTATCTCTGACATATATTTAGCTTTCTGTCAGCATGTGGTTTCTGAACCGTTTATTCTGAGTCATCGGTAACCTCCATGTTGCCAGCATTCCCCTCTCCACGTATGCCATCTGTCTGTGCGTGAAGAGTTTTGACACCATCCTGATGAGCCTGCAGAGAGTTGTTGCAAAGTGGTGTCAAACTTTTCATCACCCAGTGGATTTGCCAGCGTGTGCTGTGGAACTAAAATGTGTATCTGTTCATTTCAAGTGGCCGTGTTGGAGTCTACGCTGTCTTGTGAAGCCTGTAAAAATGGCATGCCTACCGTCTCCCGGCTGTTACAGATGCCGTAAGTCAATCATGTGCCTTGGTTGTAATCTTTTGACTGTGTCGCACACCAGATCGCTGACCCAAGTGCCCGGTACCGTAGTAAAGACCCATTTGCGGTCCTTGCAGAGTGGGAGGGACCTGCTTGCTGACAGTCACTTGCAGCATGCTATCATGACCTCGCCTCATACCGCTCTGCTACCTTAGTCAGATCTCTCTGCTTTGACATCAGTGTTGCCTTCACGTGTCTGCCTGTTGATGTTAGCCTTGAGTACGTGGAGTGTGCAGCCCCCCGCCTCAGAAGTTCTGCGGGCCAGCCCTCTCAAGTGGCTGTCCTTTACAGCCCTGTTTCAGAGCACCAGTCGGCCCACTGCCAGGGCTAGTTCATGAGTCGCAGGCCTTAGACCATCTGCCCTCTAGGTGGAGGGCGATGTGTTTGTGGCCTCCCATGCTCTGGTTTGTTCATTTACTCACTGGGTGACATTGATTAAACACCTAACATGTACCAGGACTGTGCTATGGGCTTAGAGCTCAAAAGACTTTCTCCCTTTAAACTAGTCAAGGTGGTTGAAATAATGCTTTGGGGCCATTCCTTTACATTTTCTGTCCCTTCCTGGAGAGACAGCAGGGTGGTTAAGGGTCTGTCCACAGACCTGGGGGTGGACCCGGCCCACTTTTCCCTGGGTGACCTTGGGCAAGTTTTCCTGACTGCTGGAAGCTGAGTTTCCTCACCTGTAAAATGGGAATAACAGTGGTTCCCACCGCAGAGTTGTTGGGAGGATTTAATGGAATGATTCTTAGTATGGTGCCAGGCACTTAAGAAGTGCTGATCAAATGTCATGGTCAGTATTGATTGGCCTGGATTTTGTGAGCACCAGGTGCCATGCAGTACACCCAGAGCTTGGTGTTTCCCGCTGGTTGTGTAACAGACACGCTCAGCAACCTGTGTGAGGAACAAGACGGGGCAGCTTGCGGCGCGTGCAGTCGGAGTCCAGAGGAGGCAGCAATAAGTTCGGGTTCCATGTGTTAGGGAGCATCTTCTATAGCCCAGGCATGGTCCTAGGCCCTGCAGAGGCCGTGATGAGTGAGCAGCCCCTGCTCCTGCCCTGGGGATGGGACATTTTAGTGTTGAACTTGGCATTGACTGACCCTCTCCAAGCCAACCATCATTAATAACAGCGTGAACATGGGACAGTAGATTCAGTTGGGGAAACAAAACAGTTCTCACCCAGACTTTTAGAAATAATGCATTTGTAGTTAGGGAACTCCCAATATCGGTTTGCCCTGCAGCCTCCTCCCAAAGCTCTTGCACTCTCCTCCCAGTCTAACATTGTGAACGTGAATCCAAGTGCGTTTTCTTCACTGAAGTCTTTCTACCCTTTTGGCTTCAGCTTGAGAGGAGCTGTGGGAGGTGGGAACTTGGAGAGGTAGGAACTGTGTTCAGTTAAAATGTGTTCCTGAAAATAAGTGGGCCTGGGCCCTTGAAGAGGAGAGTTGTCTCCGCCTCCTGAGCATCCAGGGAGCCTGTGGGGAAGTTAACCTGTTGCTTCTACTCGTGATGTTATTTCCTGTTGTTTAAAAAGGGGGGTGTCTTCAAGGAAAGACTTTGGACAGCCACATGGGCACTGCCCAAGCATGCATTTAAACCCTCTGTTACAGCCAGAGGACTTCAGAATTCCTCCCTCTGTTGTTTTTAATAGTGTGCTTTTAGAAGAGAGGTTTAATATATACTCTAAAAGCTGCTATTTGTTTTAAGAGAGTGCAAGAAACACCCCTTTTCTTAGAAGAAAAGTGTTTTCTTGCTAGATTCCCATCAGAACAATTCCTTTCTACTTACTTGCACATTTTTATTTTATGGCACTCTAGAATAAATTTTATCTTCCTCTGGGGTTAAAAATAAAAAGGAAAACTAGTTATTCTGTTTTGAAATACCTACTGCATATGTGATTTGCAATATAACAAATATAGACACAATATAATAAAACAATAATTGTAAAAGTTTCTTCCAAGTGTTCACTAATTTCCTACGAATGGAGGCCTGTGGTCCCACAGTAGGGAAATAACCCCCATTACAGACAGAATTGACCCAGTCTCCAAGAGTTAGTAGGGTTTGGGGGGTTTTCTGAGGTCACACTGGGTGGCTTGTAATGCCTTAGAGCATGAAACAGTGGATTGATCTGGGGTTGGGGGGTGTGGTGGGGACCTAGTGGGCTAAAAGATGTCTCATTCTCTTTTGATCCTGTTCAGAGAGTACACCTGGTTTAAGAAAGACTTTTGTTTGTTTGTTTCTCTTCTTTATAGATTATTCAGTGACGTTTTACTAACCACTTCTGAAAAGCCACAGTTTAAGGTAAAGCAAATCATCAATTTTTGGTCTGTGCCATAAATAAGTTGATTTTTAAACTTAGTGATTTTTAAAAATTGAGCTATAATTGATCTAACATGAGTTTCAGGGATATAAGACAATGATTTGATATATGTATGTATTACAAAATGATCACAAGAAATCTAATTAATATCCATTACCACATACAGTTACAAATTTTTTTTCTTGTGATGAGAATTTTTTTCTTGAGAACTTTTCACTCTCGGCAATTTTCAAGTGTGCAGTACAGTATTATTAATTATAGTGACCGTGTTGTACATTATATCCCATGACTTACTTATTTTATAACTGAAAGCTTGTGTCTTTTAACTCCCTCCACCCATTTTGTCCCCTGCCACCCCCGTACCCTGGCCCTGGCAACCACCATTCTGTTCTCTGTATCTATGGGTTTGGAGTTTTTGTTTTTTGTTTTGATTCCACATGTAAGTGAGGTCATACAATGTTTGTCTTTCTCTGTCTGACTTAACATACTGATTATTATTTGAGTGAAGGGAAAAAAAGCTGGATATAAAACACAGTGTGTACAAAAACCCCTGTGTCTAGAAGACCAGAAGGAAGTGTCCTGGGCAGCGGCAGTGTTGTATGGGGTCATGGACAGAGTGGGGACTTTGGAACCCCAAGAAACCCAGGTTGATGCCTTATTTTGCTCTTCCTTCCTTCCTTTCTCCCTCCTTCCCTCCCTCCTTCCCTCCTTTCTTTTCTTTCTTTCCTCTTTTATTTCTTATTGTATACTGTCTTATATTAGTTGCAAGTATACACCACAGTGGTTCAACAGTTACTCATATTATTAAATCCTCACTCCCACTAGTTTAGCTACTATCTGTCAACATAGGAGGATGTTACAGAATCATTGGCTGTATTCTCGCTGTGTTACTACCATCCCCGTGACCAGCCTACACTGTGATTGAGAATTTTGGTGCCTTTTATCCCCTCCCCTCTCCACCTACCCCAACCCTTCCCCTTTGGTAGCCACCAGTCACTTCTCAGGGTCTGTAAGTCTACTGCTGTTTTGTTCCTTCTGTTTTGCTTCGTGTGTATTCTCCACAAATAAGTGAAATCATATGGTATTTGTCTTTCTCCTCCTGGCTTATTTCACTGAGCGTAATACCCCCTAGATCCATCCATGTTGCTGCAAATGTCAGGATTTCTTTTCATTTTTGGCTGAGTTATATTTACTTTGCTTTCTCAATACCAGCCATCTATCTTAGGCAGCATTTCTTAGTCACGACATTTGACATTTTGGGCCAGACAGTTCTCTGCCTTGGGGGCCACCCTGTACATTATAGGAGGGTAAGCGGCACCCTGGTCTTTACCCACTAGATGTGAATCGTTCTTTCCTTCCACCCCACACATTGTGACAATCAAAAATGTCTCGACAAATTGCCAAATGTCCCCTAGAGTGGGGAGAGGGAGCTGCTCCTTGTTGATAGTCACTGATTCACAGGCAAGTACCTAATCTTTGAGTTGAGTTTGCTCAGTGTGGGGAATTGGTGAGCAGTACTGGTCTGTTGTCATTGGACCCCTGGGAAGGCCCCATTCAGGGCCTGGCCCTCCTCCGTGCTCACGTACCGTCCTGGGGAGTAGGATTAAGTGTAATTATCTTTCTCTTCTGTGTGTTCTAAAAGATATGCAATGTGAAGAAATTAACTTTAGGAGAAACAAAAACAAGGTGGGGTCAGAAGATTCATGGGTGAGAAAGACACTTTCCTCTGTCCTGTTTTGCCAGTTGGTGCTCTGATGATAATAGCTTCTTTGGATCTGAAGTAGAAGAAAAAAGCATTTAAGTTCATCTCTTCATTGGAACTCCTCAGGAAATACATTCAGATTCAGCCTTGTAAATAAATAAGCTCTGCCCGAACCCTGATTGTCCAGCCCAGGGGATTATTATTTAGACCTTGCTGTGCCCCTGAACCAGGAGTCTGTGCAACAAAGACAATGTTTTTTTCTAAAGCCTGTGTTAATTTAATTTAATTGTAAATGCATTTTCTTTGTGGAAAGATGCATAAGAAACGGGTGGCGCTGGCTGCCTCCTTGAAGGGGAGCTAGGCGGGAGACTTTATACTGTGTATGTACCCTTCTGCACCTTAAAAATTTTGAACCATATGGCTGTTTTACCTACTCAAGAGTTTTTTTTAATTTAAATTTTTAAAAGAATAAAACAGACAAAAAGTTCAACATGATCTGGATGTCTGTTTTCCAGGCCTGAGCTTCTCATGGTTTGAAAAACTAATAAATTAAGAAATAACAGGCTCAGAAACATGCCCGGCTATTGTTAAGAGTAACTTCCAGCAGGAAAACGCTTTAATCTTGTAAAATTCAGAACATAAATCTTGCACAGAGAAAAATCCCTCCACAGTTATAAAATACTATATAATTGCTTGAATTTGTGTGTGTGTTACATCAGCTTTGTATATTTTTTGTTTTTAATTAGGATAAAAAGATACAAAGTTTATTCTCTTGACCATTTTTAAGTGTACAAATTCAGTGATGTTCCCTGTATTCACACTGTTGTGTAACAGAACTTTTTCATTGTAGGCTAAAACTCTAGACTCAGTGAACAACTCCCCATTTTCCCATCCCCCAGGCTTTGGCAAACACAGTTCTACTTTCTGCTTCTATGATTTTGATTACTCTAGGTATCTCATATAAGTGGAATCTCACATAGTGTTTGTCCTTTAGTGACTGGCTTCTTTTGCTCAGTATAATGTCTGCAAGGTCCATCAATGTTGTGGCAAGTGACAGGATTTCCTTTTTTAAGGCCGAATAATATTCCACTGTATGTATCTATGACATATTGTTTATTCATTATCTCTCAGTGGACATTTGAGCTTCGACCTCTTAACTATTATGAATAATACTGCAATGAGCGTGTGGTGTACAAACACCTCTTTGCGATCCTACTTTCAATTCTTTTGGCTATATGCCCAGAATTGGGATTGCTGCATGATATCGTACCTCTTTTTAATTTTTTAAGGTGCTTCCACAGTATTTTCCATAGCTCTTGCACCATTTTACATTTCCACCATCAGTGTACTAGGGTTCCAATTTTTCCACATCCTCACCAACACTTGCTATTTTCTGAATTTTCAGTAGTGACCGTCCTAATGTGTGTGAGGCAATATCTCATTGTGGTTTTGATGTGCATTTCTCTAATGATTAGAGAATGTTAAGCAGCCTTTCATAGGCTTGGTGGCCATTTGTGTATCTTCTCTGGAGAAATGTCTATTCAGGTCCTTTGCCCATTTTCTTTCCCTGTGATTTTCTGATTCTCATTTTTTTTGCAGCTTTATTGTGGTATAATCCATTTTCTGTGACAAGTCCACTTTTTAATTAGGTTCCTTGTTTTTTGTTGTTGAGCTGTAGGAGTTCTTTATATATTCCAGGTATTAACCCCTTATAAATATATGATTTCCAGTTATTTTCTCCCATTCTGTAGGTTGCCTTTCCATTCTATTGATTGTTTCCTTTCATGTGCAGAAGTTTTAAGTCTGGTGTAGTTCCATTTGTGTATTTTTGTTTTTGTTACCTATGCTTTTGGTGTCCTACCCAAGAAATCATTGCAAAATCCAGTATCATGAGGCTTTTCCCTTGTGTTTTTTCCGGGGAGTTTTATAGTTTTAGGCCTTCAATCCAATTTTGAGTTAATTTTTGTATTTGTTGTAAGGTAAGGGCCCATCCACCTTTTTTATTTTATATGTAGATGTCTCCAGTTTTCCCAGCACCATTTATTAAAGAAAGTGTCTTTTCCCTGTGTACTTTTGGCACGCTTGTCAAATATCATTTGACCGTATGCAGGAGGGCTTATTTCTAGGTTTTCTGTTCTGTCCTATTAGTTTACGTGTCTGTCTCTATGCCAGTATGACACTGTTTTGATTGCTGTAGCTCTGTAATATGTTTTGAGATCAAGAAGTGTGATGCTTCCAATTCTGATCTTTTTCAAGGTTGTTTTGACAATTTGGGATCCACTGAACATTCCTTGAATTACTTTCAGCATATATTATGTTTATTTTTTAGTTTTATATATTCATTGCTAAAAAATGTGAGTGAGGCAAGCATGTTGTGGTACCAAAAGTAGCCAGGATAGGATTCAAGTGGATCGCTTGTACCTGATTTTATTTCAGATCTCCTCTTTTACGATAACGAGTTGCCCCTTTGTTAAAACCAGGACTTGAGAGACTCTCCAGCCATTACACTCAATAGGTTATGTGCTTTCTCTCCCCTGCAGATCCCCACAAAGTTAAAAGAGGCACTCAGAATTGCCAAAGAATGTATAGAAAAGAGATTAGTTGAAGAACAGAAACAGGTAAATTGCTGATAATTCCTCATCGCCTCTTATCCTTTGGTGCCCCCACCCCCATCATGGTATTCACGGTAGTTTACTTTTGACTGATTGCTCATTCCATAAACATTTCTTGCATGTCTGCTCTGAACCAGGCTCCAGGCTTGACCCCATAAAACAGCTGAACACTTCACAGTCCTGCCCTGAAGATGCTCAGCCTATGGGGGAAGCAAGCATGTTCATCAAGGGGCAGGCTGGTGGAGGAGGCAGGGGGGCGCACCCGAGCCACGTCTAAAGGCGCAGGGGACCTCATGTGACTCTGTAAAAGAGAGAAAGGCAGGAAGGAACTGGGGGAAGCAACGGAGGTCTTCATCCTCTGGCATTCTCTTCTCCCAGACACCCAGACCCCAGCTTGGAGGTAGACAGGCTGAGCAAGGAAAGATTTTTCATCCAAATAGTTTGATTGGGTAAAACATGTTAGAGATTTTCATTAGTGGGTAGGATATGCATACATTTGTGGTGAATTGTGGTCTCTTAAAGATTCACCAGCATCGAAGACTGACAAAAGCTCAGTCTCACCATGGATCTGAAGAAGAAAGAAAAAAGAGAAAGATTCTAGCTCGAAAGGTAAGCCAGGTGTCTCTCTGAATTCTCTCTGAATTCTTGACTGCATGTGAAGAAAGTTGTAGGTAGATGGTGCACATTTCATTAATGGCAGATTTTGTGCTACATCTCCTTGAAAGCTAAAACTATTTCCACATGACTGGTTTGCAGCTTTTAAAAAAGCCACATAATATGAGCAGAGAAATGGGCCATAGCGTTTCTTGGCTAGTGGGGCTGATTATGGCCTACTGTACTGGGGGGAATGACTGGCCTGACACAGTAAACTCAGCATTCTTGATTTCTTTCCCCCTTTGGTTTTGGCTGTGGCTTCTTCACCATATTAGGTTAGGAGGCCAGGTACGACCTTGCGTGTAGCTAGTTTAACTGTGTTCCTGGAAAATGTTTCTGTCCCAACACCCACCTTCAGAGTGTTTATTCTTTGTTTTTCCCCCTCCTTGCATGTGTTTTTGAAGAAATCAAAACGATCTGCTATTGAAAATAGTGAAGAACATTCTGCAAAATACAGCAACTCCAATAATTCAGGTAACTGGTTATAGATTGTGGTTGGCCCAGGACTCAAAGGTCAGGTCTTGGGTTCTGGTGGCCAGAGATGGGGCAGTGTGCTGGCGGATACAGAGAACAGAAGCCCTCTGTCCCTAAGGGAGGATAGCAACAGCGTTCACAGGCTCACAGTCCAAGTGCAGGAAGACTCCGCGGAGGTTGGGTGACTTAGCCTCCCCACTGATGGCAAGACCTGATCAACCAAGGACGTGCATTAGCCCTGGAGAGGAGCCAGCCCTGCTCCTGGGGCAAGGCCTCCTGTTTGTCAGTAGAGCCTGCATGAACAGATGACACCAAATCCTGCCCTCTGCTCTGGTCCCCATGTGGTGGACGTGTGTGTCCTCCCGCATGGTATAAAGGACCCGGTAGTGCGTGGGCATGGCAGAAAGCGTCATTGCAGAAGGGCCAGATGGTACAGAGGGCACTGTGCTCGCTGTCACTCCCAGATGCCCCTCGCCCAGCCCTGCTGGGTTTGGGCCTTGCTGCGTCTATCTTTGGAAGTCAGCCCTGATGGATTGCCTGTCCCTGAGGCCTTCCCCTTCTTCCCCCTTGTGAGTCTGTGAAGTAGAGTTCCCCACAGGGAGGGGAGGGCTCCTCCTAAACCGGGCAGCATCGGCTTAGCCCTGGAGGACAAGGGAAGGGGAGGATTTTTATGCTGAGGGATTACTTTCAGGCGGAGGAGAGGGACCTAGCAGAGAGAAGCTGAAGACGCAAAAGCAAGAGGAGTTTGGGGGCTAGAAGGCCAAGGGTTAGCATCAGGAGCCTAGTGGTCAGCCTCTGCCTGGGGGACCCTCCCACTCTTCCTGAAGGCAGGAGCCGGATGGGCAGGCGGAGACGCAGAGGCACTCAAAGTGGGAGGAAGTGGGGATACTGAGGGTATTCACAGCTCATGCCATCTCAGGGATTCTAGGGAAGCCAGGGAGGAGGGTGCCCACTGGGGGCGTGAGGAGAGTGGTGAAGGGTGCAGACGCCTGAAGGCTGAACCAGTCCCCACCGGAGAGCACAGGTGCTGTGGACAGAGCTGGAGATGGGAGGGTTGGGATGGGAGAAGACCACAGACTCCTCAGGAGACCAGAAGTCATATGGACACCACTGCAGAGGCAAGCAGGGGAGGCTCAGGAGAGAAGTGAGGCAGGGAGGCCCCGGTGAGAACCACAGCAGGCCCCTCAGGGCTGTGGCTAGAGGAGGAGGGCCTGGAGGCTGTGGCAGCCAGCAGTAGTTTGAGAGTTGGAGGTCCATTTTCTCCGTGGTTGATGGGGTGGACATGGCTGGTCATTGTCATCGTTAGGCTGCGACGCATGTCTTCAGTGAGCACCTTTAACTGACAGATATGCTGTCCAGCTGCTAAGTTTTTACAAGCAAAGCCTGGCTCAGGGTTCCCAACCTTCCTGAGGCCCTGCCTGCCTGTAAGGCTCTGTGCCAGATGCAGCCAGCTGGGGTTCCAAGGGCTCCAAGACAGCTCCGTGCTCTCAAGGTGCTTGGGAAAGTGGAGTAGCAGCTGTTGGAAATGTACAGCTTATATCCAGACCCTGCTGGAACCAGAAGTTCAAGTTCAGTCTCCCCTCCTTAAAATCTGCCCAAGCAGTGTGCAGGCAAGATGGGTTGAGTTTTACCTCCTTTTTCAGTAAAATGCGTCTCTGTTTTCTCTTAGCAGGATCTGGGGCCAGCTCGCCTCTCACATCCCCGTCATCACCAACCCCACCCTCTACAGCAGGTTAGTGACGCAGAGTCACCTGCCGCCCTCCGCCCCACCAGCAGGGGGAGTAGAGCTTTTTCTCTTGCTGCCTTGGCCCAAGCATTTCAGGGGCTAGATAGTAGCAGCCTTCACCAGGAAACCAGGGGAAGTGCGAATCAGCAGCGTCATCTGGGGAGCTGAGGGTCTAGATCTCCAGACTCAGATACCCCGGGGAATGGAATAATTGGTTTCAGAACCACTAACCACCCTCTACCTCCATCTCGCTGTCTTTGCTAAAAAAGCCTCTGGCAGGGCTCCTCAGAGCAGAGCTGCTCTTTGTGCACACCCAGCGGAACAGAACAGTGGCCCTGCTGCCCAGGGGCCCTGTCGCCCAGGGGCCCTGCCCTCCGGAGCTCCCCCCTCGGGAGCCCAGCCGTAGTGTCAGTGTTGTCCCAGAGCAGCACCGGTGAAATGCCTCTGGGTGGGAGCAAAATGGCTGCCAGGTTTCTGATTTCCTGATAACTGTTTGTGCTCTGCTCTGTAATGCATGTACTCATCTGAGTGTTTTTCGGTGACTAGCTTCTGTTTCACTTTTGTGAATTAAATTAGATTACTATGAGTTTTGTTTGAAAAATGTGTAAAGAATTTATCTTGGAAAATACTTATAAAAATAATCTGTAATTCTGTGGAATGGCCTCATAATACTTGCTTTCCTTCCTTCCTTCCTTTTGAACTAACATCTCTCTCCTAACCATTCTGCAAGCCCCATAGAAACACACGGGGGTATCAGTATGTCTTCTCACTTCTTAAATGCGCCAGATGTTCTGAAAGTCAGAGACGCTGGTTCTGCCACGGCGAGCATGACACCGTGCTGGGGAGAGTTGCTGCAGCTGTTCGAGGCACAGTCATTGGCTGGCGTTGATTTATGAGTTGACAATTCCATATTCCCTGATGCTCAAGGTAGCCCCCAGGAGCTCCCAAGAGCGTGACCTGGTGCTCTCGTTACCTGGCTTTCTAGAAAAAACATGACAAGAAAGTAGAAAGGGACTAGTCTGAGTAACTTCTGGCTGGTGGGGTGTCTCTCCTTATTGGCTGAGGATGGTTACTGGTGGTTTGCTGCCATGTCCTGGGCCAAGACCTGTTTTAGCAGCAAAGTACCTGGCTCACAGGTATGCTATCTTTTCCCTGACTATGTCAGCAGATTTTACAAGCAAGTCCCCAAATACTGATCAAGAGAAAACATAGACGTGTCTGTCTTTTGTAGAGGTGACCTGTATAGGCTGATGAGAAATTCCTGGAGATCCACTGCCCAGATCATGCTGAGCCATTTTCTAGAAGATAGGGTATTAGTTTCACACCACTTAGACATCTTAAGGAAGTTGGAGGGAATGAATAGTGAGAGTCCATATTCCCTCCTTTGCCACATGAGGTGTCTGCTATACTACAGAGCACCTCAGCGTGCCCATTCGATGTGGTCCTGGGAAGTTAACTCCTTTTTAAATGCCTTGGGGAATTCACAGTTTATTACCAGATTTTTGTGATGAATCCTCTAAGTTGCCTGTGTTTTGAATGGGAGCTGTCTCATCCAGCACAGGTTTGCATGAGATGAGGTAACTTTCAGAAGGAGAGAAGAAGAGGTATCTTTTGTAATTAGAGGCAGTGTTGGGAAAATGTCATCTGAGGTGAGTGGAATCAGTAAGGGGGCAACACTGTGGATTCGATGCGACTGGGTCCGAGGAAGAATCATAAGAATTGAGAAGGAACACATATGTGAGGCCCCAAGCCTCAAGACCTGGTAGAAACGTGAGATTCCCTGCAAATATTGGCTCCTTTCCTTTATCTCCTTTACAGTTTTGTTGAGGAAATCATTGACTCAGCTCCAAGGACTGTACTCTGACCTCTGCTGGGCATTTATTGTAATGCATCTCTTAAAAGTGATAGCTAGTGTCACAGGCCCTGAACGGTGCACCCACAGTGAGTTTATTCATTCAGTTACTCAAGGTGCATTTGCTGGGAGCCCGCGGTGCGCCAGCGCTGTGGTTAGGCTGGGTTACAGAGAAGAGCAGACAGACAAGGTCCCAGGTGGCACGGAGTCATGCTTCCAGCACCTCTAAGGAGGTCTAAAATGATAGACATAATTCAAGCAAATCTTTCCAAGGGGTCCAACCATGGTAAATTTCTTCTCCAAGTAGTTTCCCTCTTTAAATAGAGAATCGTCACCTGAAAAACTAGAATTCCTCGTAAAGGTAACATCTCAAACACAACTCAACCTGGGAGCTCTTGAGAACTGCACCTCGGACCAGGGAACCTGAACTTCAGAGCCATCACTTGCTAGTTGTAGGACCTGGGACAAGAGACTTGACCTCCTTATGCTTGAGGCTCCCCATTGGTCAATGAGAAATAAGAGCGCCTGCCCCGGGGGCAATGCTGGGGTCCAGTGAGCTCCCCCTGTGTGGAGTTAGAGCGGCACCTGGCACAGTGTAAGCCCTCAGGACCCTCCCTGTTACTCCTTGGAGATCTCAAAGGATTCACTTTCCACATTGGGTTTTGGTTACTGCCTCTGTAAAGGGCAAGTGGTAGGAGTTGGAGGAGACCACCGCTCCGTTCTGTGTCATTAGGCACGCTCTGAATCCACGTGGACCTTGCCCTTGGCAGTTTGCTCGGCAGTGAATCAACTTAGGCAAGTTCAGTTTGACAGTGTTGTGCTTCTTCTCAAATGCGTCAGTTCTAAGTGCATTCATCGTAGCCAAGCGTGGTATTAAGCTCAGTTGCTTTTAGGATGGGGCAGAAGTGACAAGTGTTTCCAAGTGAAGGGGTCTTACCCTCAGGAGTGCTTTCTGGCAGTTGTGTAAGGGCTGGGACCCCCATCCCCCTTTACTGCACCTCCCCGCCTTGGAGCCTCTTGAGGTCTACACCAGACTGATGAGGAAAGTAGCATTTCCCTGCATCTGCTGGCGATGCTGTGGGATTCTCAAAAACTATTTTGCTGAGATCCTTAATTTTTCAGTGAGAACATTGCTTTCTTTTCTGCTGTAGGTTATATTTTCTACCTCTAGAAGGTCGGTCTTTTAAGACCTTTAGAATTCCTTATCCTAACTTATTTCATTACAAGTGTCACCAGCTAATGTTTACATGCAGTGTCCATACAGAGTGACTTACAAGGTCCCAATTTACACACACAAAAACATTCCCTTCCCCTGCCCCCTGTGGGAACAGACAGGCTTGTTGCCTTACTACTGTGTGGGGTTTAATTTTTTTAAACAAGTTTGCAAAAGCATATTTTGGGGAAGCTAAGTAAGCAGGAGACCTTAAACTGTTGTTTTTAACAATCATCCCTAACATATTTAGAGCACTTATTTTAGGCACTATTTTAGGTGATGTATAGCCATTGTTTCATTTGATCATGAATACCTTCTTATCCAGTGTGAATGGATTCTACTATAGCTCCATTTGACAGACAGAGAAACTGAGGCTCTAGTGGGGGTAAAGTACTTTGACCCAGGTCACACAAGTGGGGCTTGCTGGAGCCAGGATTCACATTTGGTTTGGTCTCTGCCCGTTTACCCTCCCAATTTTTATTGTTTGCCTGCTCTCTTGGGTACCCTGCAGGCCCTGTGCTTGAAAAGACCCCTGAAAGCAGAGTCAGAGACCCAGGCATGAGTCTTAGCACCACCATTTTCCCCCATCACCTTGGACAAGTAATTTCCATTCTTTGAAGCAGTCTTTTAAAAGAATTCCTGGTCTTAATTAGGTAGATTAAAGTACATGTCGGACAAGGCTTTATAAGCAGTAAAGTTCTATAAAGTATAGGCTGTGAAGCCTTGCAAGGAATTCTAGCCCTTCTTGCTTGCAGTTTATAATTTTAAGCAATAGTTTTGAAAAGAGAGCGGGTGGTTTGTGGAACATCCAGTCCATAAGAATGAGTAGAGAGAGGGGGTGTTTTCTATCTGCAGGAGGGAAAATAGTTTATGGGCACAGAGTGACTGAGAGATTGAGTAACAGGAAGGAAGATGAAGAATAAATAAAGCACATTTGAAAGATGAATTTATTTAGAATGTTGGAGTTTCTAGAATTGTCTAGGCAAATCAAAGTCTTAAACCCATACTAGGCTCAAAATCGATGCTCTACAAGTTTCCTCTTTTTCCTCAACACCTGCACATGCACAAGGTAGTTGCCGTCCTTGGGGTGAGCAGGTCTGGCCTGTGGGGTTGCTCTCCTGCCAGCTCACTGCCCGCCTCCCCACCCTCCAAGCCCTTGGGTGAGCTCCTCCCTTGAGCCCGCCTGGAGTGGATAGGGCATGGCACCGGGCAGTGTCCCAGCATCCTCCCAGGGCTCTCCCACGTGAGTGGTCAGCCTGCCCTGCCCCTCACATGTCTCGTTTCCTGGCTCCTCCTCCCCAGAGGAAAGTATTCTCTGGGCAGTGGGGCAGCTTGGTTGGTAAGGACCTCTGGGATTCATTGTCAGGGAAAGCATTCTCCTTCCCACGTAACCTGGAATCTGGCCAGTTAACAAGAAGACAAGAAAAATACTTGCCTTGCTTGCTTTTTTCTTTTTTTAATGGTTTTATAGCCTTGGGTAAGCAAATGCCACCACAGTCCAACTCAGTCCCTTGAGAGGCCCCATGGCCTTCAGGGAAGGGCCCCCCCTGCTCCTGCCCAGGAGGCTGCCCTAGACCTGCCCTGTGCCTGTGCTCTTCCCAGCTTTAGAAAGACAAGTCTCCATTTTAGACCATAGAAGATTTGCTCGGAAAATGGTGTGTTCTCATTTTTCTCCCCTTTTGATAAACTGTCTTTATTTAGGAATAGAACTAGGTAACTCCCAGTACCCATTCCATTTTTCAAGGGAGGTAAAACCTTCACGGGTCTTCTGAAGTTAGTGTTGTGCTTGTAAATGAATAAAAATAGCACCTAACTAAGCTCAGAAAAAAAGAAAAGGAATATGGAAAGGAAAATGAATCATTACTCTGCTAGTATGTTTGCCATGTTCCAAACGGGTTGTGAGCCAGTGTACCTTGTGGTTAAGTTCAGTATGTCCTAGTTCAGCAGTGAGAATAATCAGCATGTGAGTCAGACAAATATTTTCTCTCTCTTACATTTGATTAAATGATACTAAAATCTGCATAATGACTTGTGTCCCCTCTTTCTCTCTCTCTTTGCTGTTTTCAGTAGAGTATGCACCATTTTGAACGTGAATTTTCGGTAAAGTACGCTATCCTGATTTCTCTAACTTTAAAGATGCTTTGTTTCTGTATGTGAAATGGGACCTAGTGCATCTAGATCAGTCAAGTGATGAACAAATGGGAAAGTGGATTTGACATGATTTCCTTGTTTGAACATTAAAATGAAATACAGCATCTTTAAAAAGCACCCAGTGACTTCATTGATACTCATGTCATTTTCATCATGACCTTCACAATCTTCATTTTCACTTGGATTTTACTTGTTAAAACAGCTCTAAAACCTGTAAATCAACTGCATGGCATTTTGGTGTATTTCAACTTTGGGAACCAGGATCTCAAAGTCCTGTTGCTACAAAAACGTTGGTTCCGTGGAAGGGGCGTTAGTTAGGCAGTTGAGTTCTTGGTTACATGGAGACAACTTACTGGGTTTTGTAACTGATGGTAGAGAAAAGCAGCTTTTTTAAGCATCCTTAATAATTCCTGAGTTGGGACACGAGTGCAGCCTCCTCATCTAGTGGAGGCGAAAGGCAAAGGCGGTTCCCAGGGGCTGGGGGGTGCCTGCTTCCAGGGGGCCCTGCTCTCTCCCGTCAGGGGTAGCCGGTAGGTCTCAAGTTAGTTTGGTGTCCACGTGGCCTCCCCACCCCTGTTTGTGGACCACAGAGGAAGTCAGACTGATAGAAACCTGTAGATTGCCCACTGCCAGCCTCGGCCCTCCGAGGCCCTTTCCACAAGGCTGGCAAGGATGTTTCTAATAAGGCATTCCTCCCCAGCTCTAACCTGTGCTTCTCTGGGGCTGTTGCCAGGGGCTCTGCCGGATTGCCAGGTTCCCGTGTGGTTTGGTGGTTAGGAATCTGGGGAGGGTAGAGTAGTTGTCTTTTGGGGTTTTGTCTAAAAGAAGGTTGGATTGGAGGGATCAGCCTGACCTGGTTATATGTGTAGGTAATCTGTTCGGAGCATCTTAGATCCTGGGTTGTTACAAGCCGGTATTTTTCAAAGCTCGTCAATTCAGTTGGCATTCAGTCTAACATGGAAGCTGTCCTGTGTTTTCTGCTGCCAGGGAATCAGGGCTGTCGAAGGCCTCTTCGTGGGAAGGAGCCTGTGCACATGTGAGGAGTCAGGGGTGCTTAGGCATTAGCATTTCTTTCCAGGTTTGTCACGGACCAAACAGCCAACTCTGAATTTGATCCTTATTAACATGGCTAATTTTATAATATGTTGTAGCTTAAGCCCCAACAAACCTTTAAAGGAAGCTGTGGACCACTGAAAAGGCAAAGAGAAAAAGCCCCCAAGCCCCAGTGGGGCCTGCAGTCAAGCCCCGGCCTGTATTTCCTGCCTCCTCCAGTGGTGACCTTCCGCCTCCTCGGCCTCCCCTCCCCTGCAGAGAGTTCTGAGCTGCAGGTTGAGTTCCGGCCCGCCTTGCCCTGACTGTGCACATTATGCCCTGGTGTCACGGGCCCAGGGAGGGAAGTGGGCCTCCTGGGACATGAGGCCCTCTGATCGGTTGGGCCTCTGTAGGAGAGTGACCTTGCTCCCTACCTGTGGGCTCCTGCACTGCCCTCCACGTCCTGTCTGCTTAACAGGCGCAGGATCCTCTGTACTTTGGATGGCGTATTTACTTATGCTCCCTACATATTCTAAGAGATTCATTTAAAGTGGGAACAGTCGCACCCTATACTTGGAAGATGAAGATCCATTTACCGAACACACCCCCGACTCCCAAACCCTTCCATAGTGAGTTTGCACACTTAGTGCCTGGTACTGAGGCCAGGGCCAGAGGTCGGTTCCTCATGAAGACCAAGCAGTTTTCTTCTATGCAGAGAGGGCAGCCCAAGTCCATACCCAAGTCCAGCCTCCAAGGCCCAGCTCTGGCCTCCCAGAATCCTGGGCTGGAGGGGTAGCCAGTATGGATGGCCATTCTATTGCCTTTATTAATAGGGGGTAAGTGCTGCTATAGCCCAGGACCTGTCTTCTCATGTACAAACCCACAATGCCTCCTGCCAGGGTCAAAGCACAAAGCTGGAAGACAGGAACGCCAAAGCTCTTTCTGGTACATGTTGGGCCCTGAATGTCAAGTCCATATTCCTTTGCCCCTTGGGTGGGGATGAGACGGGAGACATAGACACCCGCTCATCCCTCCAGGCTCTCTTGGTGTTCCAAGAGCCTTCATGGGCAACCTCTCCTCTTGGAATCTCACCGGTCACTCATCCAAACACCCCCTCCAGAGGAATGCTGTGTCACATGCTTGTTCTCCCTGCCTTCCCTGCCTCAACTGTCATTTCAGGTTTGAAGCCCTTTTTATCTTGGAGCCTTGTAACAGAAAGCCAGGAACTTTTCCCACAATCCACCCTGGTGTAGAACATAATTAATAGAAATTCATTCATTAGTTGATATTGCACAGAACCAATGAAAATTACATCTTGTTCATTTGTATTTAATGTTTATTTGTATTGCTATATTGTCACTTGAGTTCCAAGATTGTGGAGCATGAGTGTGTGTATCTGTGTGATTCTTCATTTCAGCTGCCTTAGGTTTGGGTAAAAGATGTAAAGGAAGGTAAGTGGTTTTCTATTAAGTGCAAGACTTTTGACTTTTGCCTGTCACTCGTGATAAAAAGGGTGCCCTTCTTACCGAAGCACTTTCTTGGTGATCCTGAACCACTCGCCCATGTAAGTGCAAGTGGTGATCGGTATGTTTCCCCGTTACCACTACAGTTTGTGGCCGTTTAGAGGGGAAAGCCACCTGGTGGACTATCTCCCTGGTGTAGCCCTAGGAGGGTCATACAGGGTGAGGCCAGAACAGAGCTGTAGGGTTCACAGCATGAGTGGCAGCTAACTGGCCCAGGCAAGTCCTTGAGGGCAGGGCTTTCTCTGTACCAAGTGCTGGTGTATGGCATCCGAACGCTGATCGATTCAAAACTGAAATTCACATGCCGGATGTCTATATGCCTGGGACCCAAGGGAGGTTTTAGATACTGGTCCGGTTTCCTTCTCTTTGCCTTCTAGGGGTAGAGCTCGACATTCCAGTCTCTGCTGGTGCTTCAGCAAAAATGTAGAGTTAGTGCAACTCCTTTTCGGTCCTGGATCAGCCCCTACAGAAGGAAGATTGCTTGAGGGCGACTCCTCCCTGAGGAAACCGGTGTCTGCTCTGCATCACTGACATTAGTAGCATTTTATATTTCTTTAGCACAACCTAATAGGAAATGATTATTTAAGACAGACGCCCTGGAGAACCCATAACCCATCAGGCGCTGGTTGCTGGCTGACAAGTCTGAGTGGTTTGTTAATTTATATTAAATCACATCCAATAACACGAACCATTGTGTGTCAGAGTAGCTGAAGAACTGTTCACCCCTTGTTAGTGCCTGATACTCAGGCAGCCAGCACTGTGTGTTCAGAGGACTGTCTCTGTCTGTTAGCTTAGGAGTAGGTGGAGCTGCCTGGGACCTGGCAAGGGAGCTGATGGAACTTTTGGGAGCATTACTAAATTTGGAAATGGATTTAGACCCTCATCTGTGCAGACAGAATGTTACTACGTATAATTTCTTGTGATCTGTGGGATTTGTCCAGTCTTTTCTCACATGACCATTACTTGGGAGAAATGGCAACCTTTAATTCATTCCCCTTGATGCTCCTCGCCTTCCCGTTCAGTGTGTTGAAAACGTGATGCAGCACTGGGTATCTCGCTCCCTCCGAGGGAAGACACTCGCAGTCCCACCAAAGTCCATTCTGCCCGGGACTGAGCAGTGCGTGTGCAGGGCGCTTGGCAAGGGTACCGACTGTCCCTTTTCCTCTGCAGGGGTGTCCACATTACCTCCACCTCCTCCACCTCCACCTCCACCAGCAGCATCCTTGCTTCCTGCGAGCACAGAGGCGCCCACACAGCTCCCGCCCCAGGCTATGAATGGCGTGAGCAGAGGGGCCTTACTCAGCTCCATCCAGAACTTTCAGAAAGGAACTTTGAGGAAAGCCGAAACCTGTGATCATAGTGCTCCTAAGATCGGCTAGAGCTTTGTGTTTACACTTGGAGGGAGAAGTCCTTTTTTTCCCCTTCTACCTCCAACCCCTAAAAGTACTCTCTTCCTGGATGAATGACTGCTGAGCCAGTACAGCCACATACTATCTTATGGATGCTCATGTACGGGCCTTTCCAAGAGGGACATACTCAAGTAGAATGAAATCAGGCTGGCATTGCTGTCTTAAGAAGCATTTTGCTCCTCTACTACCATTTTAAAGAAATCTTGTTCATCCTTCAGTGGGCATATTTTTGGGGCAGCAGCATATTGGAATCAGTATTTCTACCAACTGAAGGAAATGGACAAAAGAGAAAGAGACAATATTCAGTCACGGCAGTGAATGGCCTTTGTGTAGCAGTCCCTATCCTGTCAGACAGCTCCTAAAAACATTCCTCTCATAGTTCATTTCTGTTCTAAAGCATTTCCTGGTTCTTAGGTAAATTCCCATTTTCTGCAACCTTAATTTCATCTTAGACATTAACACTGTAGTCCAAAGCATAGTTATGTCGCTGAGTCAGAGGAGCACCTGAGTTCTTCATTTTCCTGCAAATACAATGTCGAAAGTTAACATTCTCGAAGTTCTCCCAGGAATACCATTGTGGTTACAGAACTCAGGGCTGTGCCGGCAACTGTTCTAGACCTAGCGCCTAGTTCCATTTAGTTAGGATGTATTCAAGAGACAAAAAAAAAGGTAGTATCAGAAATAGTTCTTGCCAATTAGATCGCAATCCTCAGCAAATTAAGTCGTTTGTGGTCTGTGGCCGGGGGTTATTACAACTAAATTTGGCACCAATAGAAATCCTGATTTTTTATTTTGAATCCAAATATATCATCTTTTTAATATAACTCATTTATTAGAAATATCTTTATCCTATGATTTGTTTAAACCCTTAAATTGCACTTTAAAGGATTATAAATAATCCATTTAAAAATTCAAGTACACACATCAGTGTTGGTCACTATGCAGAGAATGTCATTGTGTATAGTTTCACGTAATCTGTGATAAATGTTCAGCTGTATTTTTTATTAAAATAAACCATGTCAAGAAAGTGTGTTTTTTGTAGCTTCACTAGCTATTTTAAATGGAACTTCTTGTAGTACCTTTTGTAAACATAAAATAATAGATCTACATGGTGTTTCTTAAGTTTCCTTCCCACCTGTCCTATCTGTACTTTTTTTGTGTCCTATTTTCCCTCATAAGAGCTAACAATCCTGCCTAGTTTTTTAAATTAGACATCATTTATATGCTTCTAATTATTTTTAGCTCAACTTCTGGAGAGGGCATTATATGGCAGAATGTTTTTTGGCCATGGGAAAAATACCTGATATGAATTTTGCTTTTATTTTAAATGGAACCCTATTACAATTAGGCATCTCAAGTCTTTGTGGACAAAGTTCTGTTACAAGCGTGGTTAATAATGAGTTCCTGATGACACTAATTTATTAATAGAATTAAGACTTCCATGCTACACTTCAAGTATATAAAAATACAATTAGTCATTGTGGGGATTCTTTTATTTCTTAGAAAAACAATCTAATAGTCAATATGGATAATATGCTTTTATTTTTTACATGTGTTTTTTGGATCCATCTTTCATTAGGACACGGCCACAATCACACCTTGCCCTTCTCATGAGAGAGTAAAATTTTACATTAGTCTTACTCAGAGAACACGACAATTTTAACAAGAAAAAGCATGGAATCTAGGGCAGGAGGGTGGAGAACTGTTCCATACAAGCACATTTAAACTTCTTTCCAGTACAAAAATGTGTTGCTGCTTTAGAGATAACTTTATGAATGATGAGGTCTTACAGTACACTCCACGTGAAGTGCAAGCAAATACTTTAAATCCCAGTGACTTGAAATTCAAGTCTAAATTAGATATTTAATGTTTTCTTTATTGCAAATATGATGTCTTTAACCTGAGGTACAGAGTTGTCTTCTAGAATCTTTGCATAAGGCATAGGGATGTCAGCACCAGTGACGCGGACTGCAGGGGCATCCAGGAAGTTGAATGCAGGTCCTAGGAGAGAAGGAGACTCCACTGAGTGAGGCCAGAAAAGCCAGCTGAGCACCATCACGTTGACACACAAGGTGTGGCTGGCCTGAAGAGGTGAAATCTAAAGGTATGCTGATTACGGGGAATTGTTTCTGGTTTTGCTTTTTAAAATATTTACCCCAAGGAAAAATACCAGGGTGATAAATTGAAAGGTCAAGTCATTTGGCTACTGTTAGCTTTCAATCTCTTTGTCCACTATCTAAGCACATAATGTTTATTATAGCTTGACTATTCTAGAACCAGTTTCTCTGAAATACCTTCCATGATCCTGGCACAAATTTCAGCTCCAATGCCAAACTGTGGCCAGCCTCCTTCCACAGTTACGAGGTGATTGGTCTTCATGACACTGGCTTCTATTGTTTCAATGTCCATTGGTCTGATGGTTCGCATATTTATCACCTAAACAGATAATGTGTAAGCTTTATAGAGCCACTGCATCACAAATATAGTGTTAACTTCATAATGTGACTCCCTTTTTTGTTTCCTGCTAATCTTTGGGTCTAGAAAAATCTAATCTGCCTATTCATGAACAAAATGTGGATGAGGAAACTAGTTAAAACAAGCATCTTTTTCTCTATTATAGGCAGTTCTGTTAACGTACAAAATTAACTTATCCTCCCTTGGCTTCAACTTCATCAAAGTAATAACTAACATTTGACTGCTTACCCTGTACCAGGCCCTACACTAACTGTAATTCTCACCACCAGTCTGATTTATCCTCATTTTATAGTTGATGAAACTGAGACTTGGAGCACATTAACTTGCCCAAGAGAAGCTAGCAAGTCTTGGGTACAAAAGGGTCATGCTCACTGACCTCAATGTTTTGGCTTCTCTCAGCCTCCAGCTCCAAGGCTGGATCATAATTTAAAGCAGGTATTATTCTAAAAGATCCAGACCCTGCGTGGTAAAAATTTAGCTATTTAAAAAGGAGGTTCCCAGCTTTAAGCAGAGGTAGAACTGAGTGACAAAGCAAGATTTTACATCTAGTTAACTTTAGAGAACTACAGCTCCTTTTTTAGGTCTTAAATTTAAGAAGAACCTTTCTGATTTTTGTTTTTTTCTATTTTATCAAATGTGCACCGCAGTGGTCCAGCAGTCCCCTCCCCCTTGGGAACCACTAGTCGCTTCTCAGTGCCTATGAGTCTAATGTTATTTTGTCTCTTCTGTTTTGCTTTGTTTTTATATTCCACAAGTAAGTGAAATTATATGGTAACTGTCTTTCTCCGCCTGGAACCTTTCTGATTCTTCAAGAACAAAGGGAAGTCCACCCACCTCACATTCAATTCCCTCTTTAGACAGCACCGTTGCGGCTTCTAAGCAGTGGCCTACAGGTCTTGAATGGGCAACTACAGTTATATGTGTCCCTGAAACAAAGTCACAGATCAGAGGTTGAAATGAGAGGTGCTGTACCGCTCTGTAGCCAGCTGTGGCTCTTGTTCATTGGTAAAATGTTCAACTCAACTTCATTCCAGCGAGATGAGGAATGTGGCATGCTTCCTAGAAACGAAATGCAAATCTGGACTGACATTTAGAACTGCACGAGTGTAGGAGCCGCGAGGGAAAGACATTTTCTGAACTCATCCTACGGTCTCCTAGTAAACGTAAAGGGCTGTAACTTCTAGATTGATCAACATACAGGGCCTGGATTACAAATCATGTTTAAATGCACACTTAAGTTCTCTTACCTTGCCTTTCTATTTTGGCTTTTCCAATAGGAATCAAAAAATCTTTTGACTGAGCTTCTGTGGGAAGTTCAAAAGGAACTCCGTACATCAGTTCATTCTCTAGCATCACCACTGCAAAGTACAAACAAAAGTCACTACGTGCCTAAGAATGTGCACACAACACCCTCATTCATTTTGTGAAAAGTTTCACTGTGCTGATTAGGAAGCCTCACGTCCCTCATGTCCAGGAGCCTTGAGGCTGATTTAGGTATGGCCATTTGTAGTCTGGTCAATCCTAATTTACCTACTGCGGTTAAACCAGTGTTGTAGGTAAACAGTTAATAGATCCTTTACCTGACTGGCCCCCTTATAGTCAGAAATAAGAAAAATAACCACATTTTTTACTATCTTTACCATATATGTAAATCACTAACATTTTGTATGATACATCTAAGCCTAACTAGAAGCTTTCAGTGGTTCCTTTTGAGCCAAGATTTTGTTTTAGTTCTTTCATGTTCAGGAGAGACCCACAGTCACTCTGCTGACCTGGATTGTCATCGCGAATGGCCGATTTAATCAGTCCTTTAGCGTCCTCTGAATTCCAGGGGCTGACCACCTTTAAGCCCGGGCAGTGTGCATACCAGGCAGCAAAGCACTGAGAGTGCTGGGCAGCCACGCCTGCCGAGGCGCCGTTGGGCCCCCTGAAGACGATGGGCACACACTGAAGGCCCCCGGACATGTAGTAGGTCTTGGCAGCTGAGTTTATGACCTGGTCAATGGCTTGCATCGAGAAATTGAAGGTCATAAATTCACAAATGGGCCGCAACCCAGCCTGTCAAATCAAAAACACAGATGTTGAAGAAGACTGAAAACAGCACTGAAGAGAGGCAAGCAACTGCTCCTCCAACATGGAAACAATGTTAACAGAAATCTCCCCAGCTGAGAGTTGTAAAAAGGATGACGTACCATAGCTGCACCCACAGCAATTCCGGCAAAGCCCATCTATAAAGTAAAACACAAACGTAAGTGAAAATCTATACAAATTAGAACAGTGTACAGTTTAGCAGACATGCCCCTTAATGTCTGCTTCCCACTGGAAGGCTTACCTCAGATATGGGAGTGTCTATGACCCTCTTATCTCCGTACTTCTTCCACAGGCCTCGACTAACCTATAATTAAGCAGTGAAACCGCCCCCCCCCCCATTACTTTTAAGTGTATCTGGGGGCAAATGGCCACCTTAGGTTTATACAACTTTCACTTATCTTGGTTACCTTATATGCCCCATCATACTGGGCAACTTCTTCCCCAAGCAGGAAGACCTTCTCATCTCTTTCCAGCTCCTCATCCATACCTTGATTTATAGCATCACGAACTGTCACCTGTCCCAGGTAGGAAGAACAGTCAATAAGCTACACGACTGTTTAGGATACTATGGAGATTCTCTTCCTTTATAATTTACCTAAACTGCCCACGACATACAATAGAAAGACTATCACTAGACCTGCTTTCTCTTTAAAAGTGCAAAGAATTCTAAAAGTAACATTTCTGTCACACATAGCCACTTTTTGGATGTGCTAATGAGAAGTTTACTGAACACTTTTCTTGATGTGCACCTAAGCTTAAGAAATCTGCTTGCCGGCCAGACCAGCTCACAGGCGACTTCCTAAATAGAGAGTATACTGGGTTGTTTTATTTCCACACTTGGTGTACTATGGGGCAGAGATCTGTTAAGGAAATCTAAATAATACTGCACATGAGCATTCACTCCGTGCCAGGCACTGCCAAATACTTTGCCTTCAGAATCCAGGACTTAACTTTACTACACAGGTTGGTAGAAATCTCTAGTGAAAAATGGTGGGGAGGGAATTCCTCAAAAAGTTCAACACAAGAATTGCCATTTGATCCAACAACTCCACTTCTAGAATATATGCCCCAAAGAACTGAAAGCAGGGACTCAGGGACTTCCACACCAATGCTTATAGCAGAATTATTTATAAACCGCAAATGTGGAAAGAACCCAAATGTTCATCAACAGACGAACAAATTAACAAAATATGGTACCTACATGCCATGGAATATTATTCAGCCCGAAAAAGGGCTGAGGTTTTGATACATGCTACAACACAAACGCACCCTGAAAACATGCCAAATGAAATAAGCCAGACATAAAACGCCAAATACTATAGGACTCCACTTACCGGACGTACCTAGAATAAATTCATAGACACAAAGTGCAACAGGGATTACCAAGGCCATGGGGAAATGGGAAGTTACTGTTTTGTGGGTACAGTTTCTGTTTGAGATGACGGACAAAGTTATAGAGATGGATGGTGGTGATGGTCACGCTACACGGTGAATGGACTTAGTGCCTCCGAATATACACATTAAAACGGTAAATTTTATGTTCTGTGTATTTTACCACAATAGAAAGTAAAAAAGGGGACTAAGGTAAGAAGCGTCTAGTTTCCTCGGATAGCCCATTAGATTCCAATGAGCCTCCCGGGGGTGACATGCTGGGTGTCTGGTAGGAGGAAGAATCCAACGCACGAGGGGCGGGCGCCGTTAGCCTCCAGGACCCTCGGCCGTCCCCAACCCTCTACACCCACCCACCTCAGCGCAGGCGCGATCCCTGCCTCGGCCCGGGGACGAGAAGCCCCCTGCCCGACCCGGACTGTGCAGTTACCTGCAGCGCCGCCGGCGCCGACCGGTGGAAGCGCCTCCTCAGCAGCCCGGAGACCTGGCGAGGAGACAGGGAGGATGCTCAGAGGGGACGCAAGGGGGCAGGGATCGCGCAGGGGACGCGCACCGCTGCCCACCTGCTCGAGGGGTCTCCGCACCAACCCGGACACCGCCGCCATCTTGATCGTGTCCTCTAGCAGCCGCCGAATGACAACACAGCGAGGCCGCTGACGTGAAGGCCCCGCCTCCCCAAAGGCGCGGGCCAATGAGAGGGCACGGCGCCGGCGTGCCCCGCCTACACCTAGGGGCGAGGGACCGGGGAGGTTCGTGGGTCGTGCCGTGGCTCAGGCGGGTCCAGTTCCCTGGAGCGGGTGGCTGCTGACACGCGTGTGCACGCCTGGGAACACCTCCCGGTGGTGGTGCTTCAGGCGCGGGGATCAAGAGTCAGACTCAGGAACATGACTCGAGGCTGGAGGGCCTTAAGAGTCCAGCCTGCTGCAGGCTCCTAAAGCCCTTGGGCACCAAGTAGCTTGCACAGTCTAGTGACGGGGAACTTGCCACCTACTGAGCTGGCCTAGTTTTCCCTGGACATCGCGGCCTGTTGGATGCAACAGCTCTTAGAATGCAAACAAGAGCTGTCACTGACGCACAAAGCGCCTACTGTGTGCCGGGCATTGTGGTAAGTGCGCTATAGCTGATTTAGTTCTCACAGGAACCCTCTCAGGTAGTTCGGGTTAATTACCTCCATTTAGTAGACGGGTAAACTGAAGCAAAGATTGGTTAAATGAGCTGGGATTTGAATTTAGGACTGTCTGACTCTAAGGGGTAGTCTTTTTCCACTGCCTTCTAAAGCAGAAGTTGGGATCCGGCCTGGGAAGAAGTTAAAACAACTTGCATTTACAGAGGGCCTCAAGGGGCCAAACACCGGACCAGGGCAGCCTCTGGAAGCTTAATCTCATTGGTCTCAGTGAGATTGGGGTCCGGTGGGACCACTGATTAGTCCCCACTTGTCCCCAAGACCTTCCAAACACAACCCTTCTATGAGATGGCCTCCAGGGCATGGGATGAAGACCTTTCAAATCCCCCCTACCTGAGTGCTATCATCCAGTCCTTGCAGTCCTTGGGAGGAAACCCCAGCACTTCCCAAACACCCACAGCGTCCCTGACAAAACTCCTGATGTTGAGAGGAGAGTACTCAGAAATTCTTGGGTTCTGCTTAGAATGAAAATGTGCATCAGCTCTTCCACCATAAAGCACTGAAGTACTTCAGAATATGGGATTACAAAGCAAAAGCAGATCTCAAGGTGAAGGAGCAATGACCCAAAGAAGCCAGAATCTGGACTGTGGTCTAGATAAAAAGGACCATTTCCTGGACCATATTTACACAGAGATCCCAATGAGCCGGGAACACCCAGGCTGTGCAGCCAGTCTGGGTAGCTCAGTCAGGAAGGCAATTCGACTCCATAGAACACAGCTGGCCTAGGCTGAGAATTTTCTTTTGAAATAATGACCGTGGATATTTCAGACACCTAAGATATCTTCATAAATACAAGTGCTTTCTTTTCAAACTCTATAAGATGGCCAGTTTGGAAAAGCTAGGCACAATTTTCTGTATGAAAGACACAGCAGATAAAAATGCTGAATTTTCAATCCTTTAATCTCTTCAAAATCAGTTTACATTCATACAGGCTCACTAGGTTTTACAGAAAGGGATTGGAAAGTGCCCACTGGCCAACTAGACCACTTCTCTGTCATGGAATTAAATCTTTCCAAAGTTACAGGAACATTGTCCTCAAGTTCCTTTTGGTTGTCAGTCATCAGAAAGTCCTTTCTCCAGAATTTTCCGTCTCTACGGGCTTGACCAGCTTTCTTTTCTTTTTGTCATGACAAGCAAGGTTTATTAAAGAAACTTTCTACTCCCCCTGCCTTTTTGGGAATAACAAACACAGTGAAGTATGCATTTCCACCACCCCAGAACGTTCCCTCATGTCTCCTCGGGTGATTCCCTACACATCATTTCCTCAGGCAGCCACAGTCTGATGTCCATCATCATATTTTAGGCTGTTGTAGAACTTAAAATAAAGGGAACTACAGGATGTGTTCTCTTGTGCATCTGGCTTCTTCAGCTCAGCAGAATGCTTTTGAGGTTCATCCATCTTGTTAAGTGTATCAGAGTAGTTTACTTCTCTATTTTTCTTTCAATTTTTTCTTGTGAAAAACTTTTAAGATTTACAAGAAGTTGCAAGAAAAAAACTTTTTTTTTTTTAGTACATGGTTTCCACGTACTTTTCGTCCAGCTTTGCCTAATGATAATATCTTATGTAACAGTAGTACCTTGTCAAAACCCTAAAATTGGCATCGGTACCATACTGTTAACTCAGGTAGAGACTTTATTTAGCTTTTGTCAGTTTCTATATGCATGCTTTGGAGTGTGTGTGTGTGTGTGTGTGTGTGTGTGTGTGTGTGTGTGTGTGTCAGTAGCACTGTAGAACTTTTATCACATGGACAGATTTATGTAACCCCCACTACAATCAGAATATTGAATTGGACCATCAGCACAAAGAAACTCATGTTACCTCATCACACACCCTCCTCCACCCCTGACTCCTGGCAACCACTTACTGTTCTCAGTCACTGTAATTTGTTATTTCAAGAATGTTTTATACAGGGAATTATACAGTATGTGACTCTGAGATTGCCTGTTGTCACTCAGCTTGATGCCCTTGAGATCCACTCCAGTTGCTGGGTGTAGCAACATTTCATTCCTTTTTGTCACTGAACAGCTGTTTGGCTAGGTTAGTTTATCCATTCACCCGTTGAAGGATGTTTCGGTTGTATCCAGTTTTAGTTATTACCAATAAAGCTGCTGTGGACATTGGTTTATAGGCTTTTGTCTGAACATAAGCTTTCATTTTTTTTTAGGTAAAAACCCAATGGTATAATTGTAGGGTAGGTGTAGCTTTAACTTTTAAGAAAATGCCCAAGTGTTTTTCCAGGGGCTGTGCCATTTTACATTTCTTCTAGCAATGTACGAGACATCCACTTGCTTTGGGTCTGTGCCAGCTTGTGCTAATGTCAATATTTTTTAGTTTAGTGATTCTCATAGATGTGTCATGGGATCCCTCTACTGTTCAGTGACTTTAATTTGCATTTCTCTAGTGGTTAATGACCTTGAACATCTTTTCATGTGCTTACTTGCCATGCATCTCTGGTGAAGTGTCTGCTCAAGTCTTTTGCTCATATTCTAATTAAATTGTGTTTTATTGTGGTGAAATAAGCAAAACATAGCATTTCCTTTTTTAACCAGTTTTAAGTGTTCAGGTCAGTGGCATTCTATGCATTCACACCGTGGTTCAACTACCAGAACTTTTTTCCCAAAGGAAATTTTATATCTATTAAATAATAAGTCTCCCTCCTGTAGCAACCACCATTCTCTACTTTCTGTCTATAAACTGGACTACTCTGATAGAAGGACTGCTGATCCGGACTACTAATAGAAGTAGAATCATACAGTATTTGTACTTTTGTAACTGGCTTATTACACTTAGCATAATGTCTTCAAGGTTCATCATGCTGTAGCTTTTATCAGAATTTCATTCCTTCCTAAGGCTGAGGAATTCCTAAGGCATTCCATTGTAGAAATATGCCCCATTTTGTTTATCCATTCATCTATTGATGGTTTTATGGGTTGTTCCCACTTTTTGGATTTGTGAATAAGGCTGCTATCAACATTAATGTCCAAATAGCTGTTTGAGTCCGTGCTTTCAATTTTCTTGGGTCTCTACCTAGAAGTGGCATTGCTGGATCACATGTTATTTCTATGATTAATTTTTTGAGAGGACTCCTATGAGTCCTCTAGCATTGTTCTTTCTTAAGATTGTTTTGGCCCTTTGGGGGTCCTTTGAGATTCCATGTGTTTCCATTTCTCTTGGGGTAAAACTCTGGGTCATGGAGCAGGTGTAGTTCTGTTTTTCACAGCAGCTACACCATTTTACATTCCTACCAGCAGTGTGCAAGGGTTCCCATTTCTCCACATTCTCACCTCACTTTTTATTCTATTTTATTGATAATAGCCATCCTAATATATATGAAGTGGTGTTTATCATGGTTTTTGATTTGCCTTTCTCTAACGATTAGTGATATCAATCATCTTTTCTTGTGCTGTTTGGAGAAATGGTCATTCAAGTCGTCTGCCCTTTTCTTCAACTGAGTTGTTTGTTTTTTGCTGTTGAGTTGTAGGGGCTCTGTATTTATTTTAGATATTAATCCCTTATCAGATATGGGGTTTGCAAATATTTTCTCCCAATCCTTGGGTTGCCTTTTCCACTCTGTTGATAGTGTCCTTTCTTGCATGAAAGTTTTTAATTTTGGTGAAGTCCAATTCATCTTTTTCTGTGGTTACCAGTGCTTTTGGTATTATATCTGGGAGAGGTTCAAAAAAAGGCAAAGTAAAATCAATTAATTGTTGAAGTGGTAATTAGTAAAAATTTATTGTGCACGTACCAAAAAGACAGTTTGCAAACCAGGATCACTCAAGGCAGAACATGACATCAGGCACAGGGGCATTTGTCATAAAGCAGCTTATATAGTGAGAAAGCAGAGACAGTTTATTCTTCACAATGATTGGTTACAACATTATAATTACCAGTGGTTACCTACTATCAACCTTGGGAAACAGTTAAAGTTTTGCTTTATCATTTCCAGAGGCACAAGCAAGATGATCCGATCAAGTTAGCCTTGCAAAATAAGCTAAATTAAGTGTGGTTTGTATGACTAAACTGGTTTTGTTTGCTCGGGGAATTTTCAAGTTGTTTTCTGTTTGTTTCTGATTTTAACATATATAAAGAAATCATCTCTAAATCCAATGTCATGAAGTTTTCCTCCTATATTTTCTTCTAAGAGTTTTATAGTTTCAGCTCTGTTTAGGTCTTTGATCCATTTTGAGTTAATTTTTGTATATGGTGTAAAGTAAGGGTTCAATTTCATTCTTTGGCATGTAGATATCCAATTTACCCAGTACCATTTGTTGAAAAGATTATCCTTTCCCTATTGACTTGTTGAGGATTATTTGACCATATATGGGAGAGTTTATTTCTGAGCTTTCTAGTTTATTTCACTTGTCTCCAGATCTATCTTTAATCCAGTATCAAACCATTTTGATTACTGTAGCTTTGTAGTGAGTTTTGAAATCAGCTCTTGTGAGTCCTCCAGCATTGTTCTTCTTTTTCAAGATTGTTTTGGCCCTTTGGGGGTCCTTTGAGATTCCATGTGTTTCCATTTCTCTTGGGGTAAAACTCTGGGTCATGGAGCAGGTGTATGTTTATCTTGACAAGACATTGCCAAACAGTTCTCAAAAGTGGTTGGTACCATTTTGTACTCCTCCCACCAGAGTGAGCAAGTTCAGTTCCTCCAAATCTTTACCAATGTTTGTTGATATCAATTTTTAAAGCTTTACTATTTTGGTAGGTGTGTATTTATATCTCATGTGGCTTTAACTTTTATTTCCTTGATGACCAACAATGTTGAGCATCTTTCTGGATGTATATTGTCTGTCAGCCTCTTTTTACAAGATGATCACAACAGAACTCAAACTTCCCATGGAAAGTCCCAGGGAATGAAACTTTCCCTCTGTCACCTTCAGCAAGAAGCAGAGAAAACATACTTTGTCTCTAGGAACTAGTGGCTAGTAGTCATTATTATTATTTTATGAACAGTAATGCCTCCAGTTTCTATGATATCTTATAAACACATTTTTATGAAAATGATCTTATCTTTCCTCACAGCTTACAGAAAGATATAGTGGGAAGCCTTATACTGAAATATAATATGTGAGTGAATATTGGATAAAGGTTTTAAAAAAGCAGGAATAGCAAAGAACCCAGAGGTACCCACATAGCCACCAGTTGAGAACCGGTTTAGTGAAGCACATTACATCTCCGTGGAATGCGATTCTTCTATTAGAAGAAATATGGGAAAGAAGCAGACCCACATCTACTGATAAACATATGTATCATATGTAACTTATTGGAAACAAACTCCAAGCACGGTAAGATCTGAAATGCAAAAAATGAAATCCGATTTGTTTAAATAAAATGTGAGAATAAATATGTATAACTATAAAGAAGTGTTTTAAGAGAATTTATAAGAAATTGTGAATAGAGACTATGTGGGGTAGTGGTAGCATGTGACTAATAGAATGTTTTGCTTTTCTTTTTATACCTTTTGTATAATTGGAATTTTTAATAATGAAAAAATAAACAAAAATTATGAGCCAAATAGTATACAGGGAAAAATCTTTGCTGTAAATACAGCAATATATTTATATAAATATGTAATATATAAAGAATTCCTAAAGAGTGATGAGAGAACACTGAAACCCCAATGGAAAAAAAATCCTACAAAAATGCTCAATGGGTAAAGACATGAATAGGTACTTCACAAAGGAGTAGAAAAACTAGGAAACCTGAAATATATCTGACTTCACTAATACCCAAAGGAATAGAAATCAAAGCATTTCTTGGCCTTTGATTTTATGAGACCCCAATTCTTGGCACTTCAGATTATATTAAATATTTAACAAAGTATATCCAGTACTGGTAGGGGTTCAGAGAAAGGACACTCAGACATAGTGTTAATTATTCTAATGTTTTGGGAAGCAGTTTGTTAGATATCAGGGACCTTCAAATAAATATATTAATATATGTAAGTGTAATAATTATATAAAAA